GCACGCAGTTCTGTTTATTAACCGCTAGAGCGCCAAAAGTTACGGACTGCAATTTTAAACTTTGAATTTAACTTAAAAAGTTTGGTGTAACTGATTACCTTGATTTAGTTTTTTAGTTTTGCCAACTTATTCGGGTTTACAGTGTGTGATGAATTTTCAGCACCATTACTCCAGTCTTCAGTGTCACATGATCCTTCAGAAATCATTCTAATATGCTGATCTGCTGCTCAAGAAACATTTTTGATTATTATCAATGTTGAAAACAGTTGTGCAGCTTCATATTTTTGCGGATCTTTTTTTTTTCAGGATTCTTTGTTGAATAGAAAGTTCAAAAGAACATAATTTATTTGAAATAGAAATCTTTTGTAACATTATAAATCTCTTTGCTGTCACTTTCAATCAATTTAATGCAGCCCTTGAACAGTACTGTATATAGGCCATATGTATGAATATGCAAAAGTGAAAATGAGATTTGAGAGCTCCGGTTAAGAATATTTTCATTAAATAATGCCTTAAATTTGGAACAAAATGCACAAGTTGCATGAACTAGTTTAGTAGTGGTTTAATGTCACTTTTGGAGATTTACAGCATCTGTCCCCACTGATTTAGTAAATTCTACTAAACATCTTTAGTGTTCCACAGCAGAAAGTCTGTCGTACAGGTTTAGAACCACACGAGAGCGATTAAATGATGATTATTTTAGTTTCTATGTGAACTATCCCTTTAAAGCATCAGCTCCGAATGCATCTCTTTCATCCCGGAGAGTGCAGGACTGTCTCTGTGCTCTTTGCTAACACAGAAAGGGCAGATACGACACAGTCTGGGAATCTCACTTTTAAAGGCGGGGTATGTGATTTTTCAAAAACACTTTAGAAAACTGATTCGTGCCGAATCGCAAAACAAACTTGTAGCCAATCAGCAATAAGGGGCGTGTCTACTCGTGATGTGGAGGAGAGAGCTTTCAGTGCATGGGACGGACATTAGCCGAGCCGAGCGACAGAAAGATAGAGATGGCGGATAAAAAACAAAAGAGGAAAACGTCTGCGGAAGGATAAGGCAAGAAGTAGGACCCGTGTAAATATCGGATCAGCTTTCCAGCGCTGGAGAGAACTCAAGGAGCGGAGGCCTGCGATCGGACGCCGAGGTTGCTATGTTTCTTCTCAGTAGGTGAGTAACACCGTGTCTACAACAGCTAAAGTCTGTCTACACTGGACGCGATCAAACGACCGTTGAAAACCATTTGAAATTTGTGTCAGCACGTCATAAATAGAACCCGGCAGCAGTTTTCTGTCTGGGATTTGTTGCGCCGCGCCGCTCACGTCTGTAGACACGGTGTAACATTGGTTTTGCTTTGTTTCACAGAACTAATCGTTGCCTGGGTTGCGTACGTATATGTGGGGCGGAGCTATCAAAATAGGGGCAAGACCCTTTTGGGGTAGGGGCGTGTTTGCTTTGGTGATTTCAAATATCAACATTGGCTACCAGAAATCGCTTACCCTGCCTTTAAGTTCACAAGCTGTTTTATTGGCGTCTTTCCGCGGTTGAAACGCTGAATGAGTATGTACTGACTTGGTACTGAAGTACTGGTACTTTTGACAACACTAATGTGAACTCTGCTATTTGAAAGCTACGTGAAAGTTACTGCACCTCAGATTTTGCTGCCATCAACATGGTCCAGACTTTCTTCAGTTTCTTGGTCTTGCCTTGAGCTTCTTCCTGTAAACTGGTGTATTTCTCCTCGATGTCCAAGCGCTCTTGCTGTTTTAAAGACATTTGCAAACATGAATCACTACGTTATGATAAACTTATACAAGAATATCGGTCAATCATGAATCCGCTCATCTCTACCTCCTTTTCTTCCAGTTCTCTCCGGAGCTGCTCGGCCCTCTTCCTCCTCTCCTCCAGTTCATTGTTGGATTCTTCCAGAAGCTTCTCCTGCTCCTCAGCTTTAGCCAATAAATCAACTCCACCAACAATAACCCTCTTCTCCAGAGCAGACAGCTTCTCGAGTAATAAGTGATGTTCCTGTCTGAGATACAGGAAACAACACAAAGCATGACACTGTTATACTCCTAAAATCATACTATATTAGCACTATATATAGATAATATATAGATAACAGTTTTGGTGGACAGATTCAATGACTCACTGGGCTTTGAGAAGGTCCTTCTCTCTCTTCTCAAGCTCTGCACGTGCTTTGTTCCTCTCTTCCTCCTCCATGTCCAGTTTGGCCTCCAGTGCTTTCCGTTCCTCTTCGATCTTAGCTTGCATCTCCACCATCTTGTCAGGAGACACCTTCTTCCTCCCTTAGCATAGATATAAAAACAGATAAAAGCCTCAGAAGAAACGTATAGAAACACTTGTGCATTATGCAAGTGCACAGTAGCAGGAGAAATAACGTTCCATCAGATGCAAGCTAGCACAGTTAGCAGTAATCTTTTACCCCACTGAAATACATTCGTTTCCCTGTAAGCTGGTGACTGACACTGCTCACAAGGCACCATACACATTACATAAAGTATTTCCAGACTATTTAAAGGCAGGGTATGTGATTTTTCAAAAACACTTTAGAAAACGGATTCGGGCCGAATCGCAAAACAAACTTGTAGCCAATCAGCAATAAGGGGCGTGTCTACTCGTGATGTGGAGGAGAGCGCGTTCAGTGCATGGGACGGACATTAGCCGAGCCGAGCGACAGAAAGATAGAGATGGCGGATAAAAAAACAAAAGAGGAAAACGTCTGCGGTAGACATGGTGTAACATTGGTTTTGCTTTGTTTCACAGAACTAATCGTTGCCTGGGTTGCGTACGTATATGTGGGGCGGAGCTATCAAAATAGGGGCAAGACCCTTTTGGGGTAGGGGCGTGTTTGTTTTGGTGATTTCAAATATCAACATTGGCTACCAGAAATCACTTACTCTGCCTTTAATATCAGTTCTGGGAAGATTACTTACAAATTGCAGTCCATGACGGAAATTGTAGTTAGTAACATAATCTGGATTACACATATTAGGCAATGTAGTCGGACTACTTTTTGATTACTTTTAGATTACTTTTGACCTAATTTGTTTATCACATAGACTTGAATGTAATTATTGTGTTATTCCATATTAATGAAAAAAAGAGAAATATATTACATTCTTTTTTCATCAAAATTATGAAATGCATTAAACAGCACAAATTCATGAAAAAGCTGTAGGGAGTTCATGAAAAGCTAATAATTAAAGAAATCATAAACATTTCAAAAGCTTGGAAAGGAAAATTTAAAAGAAAAAAAAAAGAAATGTGGTGAATCAATAAATTAAGAATAATTTACTGCTATTGAGTGAATATGTAATCCTTAAAAAAAGTAACTGTAATCTGATTATGAGCATTTTAAAACAGTCTAATTGCAATTATTTAATTTTTGGAATCTGATTATGTAATCCAGATTACATGTAATCAGTTACAACCCAGCACTGTTGATATGTTTGCACAGTAAACCTGTTGCTAGATCAGACATTTTTCACATGAGGTGTCCAAAGGCAGATGACAATGTGATTTATTGCTGTCATATGTGGGTGAATCTCATCAAGAACATGTTCGGGTCTTATTTCCACCCAACAATCAATGATATCGTGCATCAGGAGAATGGAGATTATATTAGTATCACAAACATGTGACATTCACTGGTGGCTGCAAAAAATGTCAACAGATTTTACTCTTCCTCAGTGTTACATAATCATTGAGGCACTAATACAGGGACTCCCAAACTTTATGTCAGCTGAATCCCTTTGACCTTCAACTTGAAGTTAATATTTCAACAATTTAACCACACATTTGCATGTTCACCATTCTCTGATGTAGGTTACTGGTGACATGTGCGGGTAAACAAATTAAATATCTTTTTTAGCAAGTGTTTTATTTTGATTTTACAATTATTTATTTGTTTAATTTTTACATTTTAATAACTTTCCATCAGCTCACAAACCCTCTGCATTTCCCTCACAAATCCTAATTTAAGAAACCCTATGAAAATACAGTGCTCATCATTTCTGTCTCACCCAAGTTTCCGCCACTGAATAAAAAAATTTAAAAAAGGTAAGTGCGGCTTTTTCTCACAATTCTGACTTTTTTTCACAGAATTGTGAGATATAAACTCACAATTGCGAGTTATAAAGTCAGAATTGCGAGATAAAAACTCGCAATTCTGACTTTTTTTCTCGCAATTCTGACTTTTTTTCTCAGAATTGTGAGATATAAACTCGCAATTGCGAGTTATAAAGTCAGAATTGCGAGATAAAAACTCGCAATTCTGACTTTTTTTCTCGCAATTCTGACTTTTTTTCTCAGAATTGTGAGATATAAACTCGCAATTGCGAGTTATAAAGTCAGAATTGCGAGATAAAAACTCGCAATTCTGACTTTTTTTCTCGCAATTCTGACTTTTTTTCTCAGAATTGTGAGATATAAACTCGCAATTGCGAGTTATAAAGTCAGAATTGCGAGATAAAAACTCGCAATTCTGACTTTTTTTCTCGCAATTCTGACTTTTTTTCTCAGAATTGTGAGATATAAACTCGCAATTCTGAGAACATATCAGTCTTTTTTCCCCCCTCAAAATTGGACTTTAACTCACAATTGCGAGTTTATATCACGCAATTCTGACTTTATTTCTCAGATTGCCAGATTGAGGACACGCAACAGGAACGAGCGCAACTGACAATAGACAATATACTGTAAGTTGATGAGTTGATTTATCCGCATTTAATATTCCTCTGGTCATAGAGCTGTTTAGATGGATGCCGAGGCTTTTTAAGTCGGGTTGAATCTGCGATTTCTGACTCAGTTTGTTTGCTGGCTTCCATGGCAGCAATATGCTGTGTTTTCCACCAACTGGCAACCCGGGGTGTCAAAATACTATTGGATAAACTGGCAGTGGGCGGAGTCACACAGAGCAAAACAAAAACAGACATTCCGACACTGAACACACATTTCAATGTAGAATAACTGACTGTAGCATTGTTTTTCAGAGAAACAAGTATGTGAACTTAACATGTTTCCTAAATATCTGCAAACTATACTAATATTTTTATGCTCGGTCAAAAAATTACATACCACACCTTTATAATTCACACACCTAATTTGAAGACTTTGTTCTGTCTGACCATCTCATTTGTGGGACAGTAAAACTCAGGATAAATGAAAGCACATTTTTAGGGTTTGGAGGTGACGGAGGGTTGGGCTGATGAGGAGATTGTAACACCAACCTCTTGGGTCTTAAAATTTCAAGCAGAGAAGTCACATGGCCAGCACATTGCACAAGAAGTGAGAAAACAAGCACATATCATATCATCATGACTTTTAAAGGGGAATCAGGTTTGCCGTTTGGGTCTGTGTGAAATAAAACCGCAGTCACTGATCATTAGGCTGATGCAGAGAGAAGTGAGATGCACCAGAAAGGAAGATGATAAACATGAAGTAATCAGATGCAAGATTCATTGAAAGAGGTGATGCCTGAACCATTTATCAACAAATCCTTTCAATTTAACAGTATTTAGAAAAGAACAAGAATTAAAAATATAAGAAGCTATAGCTACAAGCCAAAACAAATTCATTTAGGCTAAAACGAAACTGAAAACAACGTTGGGTCTCTCATTCGACAGTCGACACAAAATCAAATGTTTCCGAATTATCAATGTATTTGAATGCCAAAATATTATTTATTATGTACTTCACTCACATTCCAATATCCACGTAAAACAAAATGCTTTTCTCGTATAGGCCTATTTATTCGTTATATAGGCTATATTTCTCCGCTCGCAGAAGCGCTGCAGGTGCATGATGTGATATGATATGACCATGTGAATCATCATGTTTTGTTGTCTGCTACTTGCATGTAAAATTAAAATTAAAACAAATTTTAGTATTTTTAACGGGTCACCGACACTTATCCTTTCTAATTTAATTCAATTCTAATTTAAAATAATCTTGTCGGTTAACGGTTAATAATCGGTTTAGCGAGCGTCGGTTGTCGGTTAGGAAAAATAACCGAAATGAACATCCCTAGTCATAATATACTTTTATTATGACAAAAATTGCATTAACTTGCATTTTCACTGGTGATCCCAGACTGTTGGACTGTATGTGGGCACAGAGACGCACTATAGAGTCATTGCCAGGCATTAACTGTTTGCTCTCATGACGCACAATGAAACTACATATGTTTGATCTGATGGTCTAGACAAGCAAACCAAAGCCACATTGTTTCTTCCTTCACTGATAACTCTGATTTCCAGCAATTGAAACATAGATGACATCAGGGTACCTGCAGATGCTTTATAGCGATACAGTTTTCAAAGTTTTTATAAATAATCTTGAATGAAAGTTTAACATATTGATGTTTTGCTTATTATCTAATGAGGTCAAAGCTCCTGACTCTGAAGATGATTATTTAAAGCGGTTCTTGAGGTCAAAAGCCAAAACCACAGTCTGCATCATCTTTCTAAGGAGATCTCTCTGACTAATTTTGCCCAGTCATAAATTGGAAGGGGAGATTCATACCTCTTCGTTTCCTGCGTCTCTCGCCTCCTTCTCCGACTTCATGTTCTCCTTCATCCATGTCATCTGATCCACTGCCATCAGAGCCAGAGATCTCCTCACCTGAGCAGTAATAAAGTACAGTACGAGATTGTGTCTCGGTACTAAACGAGTATAAACACTGGCTCTGAACCCAAACCAACAGATGCACTTACCAAAGAAAAGCAAAAAATGTTTGCTGCCTTTCAAGATACAATATTTGGTCAAATTCTTAAGCAAAATCATGTACAATGAAAGTTAATAAATGTCAATCTTTGTGATATTAGCTTATTAACAATAGTGCAGAAAACACACACACACTACCATTCAAATATTTGGAGTCAGTAAGACTTTTTGTTTATTTTTTTGCAAGATATTAATACTTTCATTCAGCAAGGATGCATTAAATTGATCAAAAGTATCAGGGAAGACATTTATAATTATAATTTACGATTTAAATCAGCTGTTTTTTTAAATACTGATTAATAATCAGAAATATAATAATCAGCTTCTTGAGCAGCAAATCAGCATATTAGAATGATTTCTGAAAGATGACAGTGACACTGAAGACTGGAGTAATGATGCTGAAAATTCAGCTTTGCTTAATAAATGACATTTTAAAATATATTAAAAATCATAAAATATTTTAAATTGAACTAATATTTCACAATATTACTTTTTTACTGTATTTTATCAAATAAATGCAGCCTTGATGAGCATAAGAGACTACTTTCAAAAACATTAACAATAATATTGCCGACCCCAAACCTTTTGAACAGTAGCATCCTTTAAAAAAAATACATTATTGCTGCTACTTTACTTCTCACATTCAAACATTAATTACATTTCTTGAAATTGAAATGATTTAGATCCCTATGTAGTCAAATTGCAGTACTCCAGGGTTTAAACCAGAGTCAATGAGTCACATCCTGAAGGGCAACCCTGACAAAGACATGACACAGCTAAAAACTGATGCGGTGTACCTTCTTCCAGTTTTTTCTTGAGATCTTCAATTTCCTTCTGAAACTGCCGCAGCAGTGCATCCTTGGGGTCCTCATTAATCCTGGCCTTATTCTTGATGTTTTTGGCACGGTTGGCATAACGGAGCGTACTGATGGTTTCATCGTAGTTGTAATCTGCTGGGCCGATGTTTGCACACTGCAAAACAAGAGAGCGATAAAACAGAATTATACTGTCTGCACTACTTTCACTGAAATCAGATTCATTTCTGCAGAATTTTAATAAAAACTTGTTTTACCAAGCAATTTAATCAACAACAGGGAAACTACCGTATTGGCCCGAATATAAGACGACCCTGATTATAAGACAACCCCCCTTTTTCCAGATGTACCTTTTGGTTTGTATGTAATCTACTCGCGCGAATAATTACATTCGCGTCTGGTGTGAACACACTGGTAAGCCCCGTTCACACCGCCAGCGAATTTTTCGCTGCTTGTCGCTTGTGGCTGGTGGTGTGAACGGGCCTTTAGAGCTTCCTGTCTAGAGAGCACCAACCCCACTGCTTAAGTAATGTACTAATATTCTCGCTCTGGTCAACAATAATTATTGACTAAAATATCAGACTAGAAATAAAGCAATAAAACAGGAATATTCATAACACATTCAAGATGCATTTTAAAGACTTTACTGATCTAACTTTGCATGCCCTAACAACACGAATAGATTTCAAAAACAAATAGATTTCACTTATTTAATAAAATAATTAAAAATACTCACGGTTTTTGTGTCCAAGGGTCATAATCCGGTCCATGTCGTCAGCATTGTTTACCACATATCCAGAAAGATCCTTGATGTAAACTCCTACATCAGGTCTCTCCTTGACCTGTATTTTGAGTTTAGTATTCATCATCATTTGCAGAAATTTGCCTTTACATTCCCAAGTTGCACAACAAATGGCATTGCCTTATTTCAATGATCCAAGCTTTAGTTAAGTCAGACTTCCTCAATAACAATAAAACTAAAACGAGTCTTATAAGGCTACAAATTCAAAAGACTGGGGTCAGTAAGATTTCCTTTTTTCTTTTTATAGAAAGAAATTAATACTTTTATTCAGGAAGGACAAATTAAACTGATCAATAGTGACTCTAAAGTGACATTTATAATGTTACAAAAGATATACATTTCAAATAAATGCTGTTCTTTTCTATTCATCAAAGAATCTTGAAAAAAAAGTAACATTTTCCACAAAAATATTAAGCAGCACAACTGTTTACAAACATGAGCAGCAGCAAATCAGCATATTAGAATGATTTCTGAAGATCATGTGACGCTGAAGACTGGAGTAATGATGCTGAAAATTCAGCTTTGATCAGAGAAATAAGTTATATTTTAAAAGATATTATAGAAATAGGTCACCCCCCCCCCACCTAGAAAGAACTACATTCCAATTTGTAGCTGCAAGCATTATCAAAAAATATCAAATACAGAAAAATATTTAATAAACAATCCCACTAAGAGTGTGTGAGATGTGGAATTTTTGAATGATCATATTCTGTTTGATGTGTTGAAATTCTACAGAAACTGGCGCAGTTTTCTGTAGAATTCTGTGGGTGCATATACCATGCGGATGTATGCATTAGTCAAACGCTTCATGACCTATATAGGAGTGTCCGATTAACGACACACCTAATGAGTGCAATAATGGGAAACCGAGAAGCTCTCAACTTTTAGATATGATGAAACATGCTGGTTTCTCACCTCCAGCCTCTGCATCTGGTCCTTTCCTAACAGGTCTCTCACCTCCTCATTGTATATTTCCAAATATGAAACTCTTACCAGAAACCTGTCACATAACACAGTTTATCTCAACACTCTGCACGTCTCTGATCATTTTCTTGTATCATGGAAAATCATGACACATGATAAGCATCTCCATGATTAATCATGGGAAATCACACTGACAAAGAACACACTGACCTCTGAACAGCACAGCATTAAAAAAAAACAATCCCCATTCTCACCTGGTGTCTCCTTCTGCTTTTGCAATGTGACCAAATACATGAGCGAATGAATTTGGGATGATTCCTCTGAGTTCAGGCACTGCCCTGACACCCTCCATAGTGAACGTCTTCCCTGTGCCTGTCTGGCCGTATGCAAATATGGTTCCTGAAAAACAAAAAAACAATTATAAAAATGTAATCTTCAACATTTCAAACTTGCAAAAACAGTCAAATAGATAAAAGGTGAAGACATATGCGCTAGATCTCTCTATTGACTTTCACTTACCATTGTAACCCTCTAATACTGAGTCAATAATAGGTCGAGCTGTTAAATTGTACACATCCAGCTGTTTACTGTCTGGACCGAACACCGTGTCGAAGGTGAACGTCTTTGGCGGCTCACTAGTCATATCAAGTTTGTTCACAGTAATCGTTCCCCGGATCTCGTCCACGGCGACGGCCTGCTTGTGTGCCATCATCTTCTCCTTCTCGTTGAGGGGTCGACATCTCACCACCACCTTCACATTATCACTCACCTCCACCTTCTCTGGTTTATCCAGCTTATTACTCTGGACAAACAGAAACCGGTTTGACAAAATTAGTGCGGAAGAATCTGTTTGTCAGCACAATGGCATTCGGCCATTAAAAAGTGAAAATCCATCACAAAAATATAAAAAATTCATCATTAAAAAAATATATGAAATGATTTTTAGAGTAAAATAATTTTTTACACAAAAATACAACTACCCTTTAGTTGTGGCATAATTTCTAACAATTGTGTCCTTAAGTACACTGCTGTTCAAAAGTTTGGGATCAGTAAGATTGTTTATGTTTTTGAAAGAAGTCTCTTCTGCTCATCAAGGCTGCATTTATTTGACCAAAAATACTGAAAAAACAGTAATATTGTAAAATATTATTACTATTTAAAATAATGGTTTTCTATTTTAATATACTTTAAAATTTAATTTATTTTTGGGATGCAAAGCTGAATTTTCAGCATCATTACTCCAGTCTTCAGTGTCACATGATCCTTCAGAAATCATTATCATATGCTGATTTATTATCAGTGCTGGAAACAGTTGTGCTGCTTAATATTTTTTTAGAACCTATAATACTTTTTTTTATTATTTGATGAATAAAGTTAAAAAGAACAGCATTTATTTAAAACAGAAATCTTTTCTAACAATATAAGTCTGTATTATCACTTTTTATGAATTTAACACATCCTTGCTAAATTAAAGCATTAATTTATAAAAAAAATTACTGACCCCAAACTTTTGAATGGTAATGTATATTGTTACACAAGATTTCGATTTTGAATAAATGCTGTTCTTTTTAACTTTTTATTCATCAAATAATCCTAAAAAACGTATCACAGGTTCCAAAAAAAATATTAAGCAGCAAAAACTTTCCAATATTGATAATAAATCAGCATATTAGAATGATTTCTGAAAGATCATGTGACACTGAAGACTGCAGTAATGATGCTGAAAATTCAGCGTTGCATCACAGGAATAAATTATACTTGAAAGTATTTTAAAATAGGAAAAGCATTATTTTAAATTGTAATCATATTTCAGAATATTACTGTTAAATGCAGCCTTGATGCACAGAAGAGACTTCTTTAAAACACATTTCAAATCTTACTGATCCCAGGCAGTGTATGTTTACAACCACAGTGTCTGTGAAGAGTACGCAAATGAGCAGAATATTTAATGCTGCATGATTATTGTCAATTCCAACGAACCTTTGTTATAGTATGTAAACAAAAAATGTCTCAATTTTATTTGGCATACTCCAGAAATGTTTCAAATGTTATTTCCACCTCATAAAGAAGGATGACTTGAGATGTGGAATAAATGACTTTTTTTTTTTTTTTTCATGAGCTAATATTAAATCAAATGACAGATATCTTCTGCTGTGCTTGTGTGTTCACTGCTGGACATCGTTAGCAGACAAATAAAATAATCTAAAGATCTTAAAGTCACAGAACACCACGCCAAATGTGCTCATAAGTAAAGAAACACCAAATGATGGCTTTTTCGTGCGTGAGCTATGGGTGCTTAATGGGTAACCTTTATTGTAAAGGTCATTGGATGATGAAAGTATATGATGGGTTGATGTACGTTAACGCTGTTGCTAAGCAGCGGATAGGACCGCTCGGCCTGTGTCAAGCTAAGAGCTAAATTAACAAACAACAATAAAAGCGGAGCAATTTTTTTACACGCAGAACATAACTAACGTTAGTCATCTGTTGTGAGCGGTTGTAACATAATTTCTCATTAATCTCAATAAAGTGAGAGGTCATACTGAGCTTTTGCTATGAAGCTAATAACTAGCAGGCAGCTAGCTTGATGTGCACAAAACAGCTCAAGTCATTCAAAGGACAAAAGCATCGCATAATAATTAAATGCATCATAGATTTGATCAATAACGACAAATGCTCGGTAGAAAACGCTGTCTAATAACAGTCTGTGATGAGATTCCGGTTGCAAACCAAAGGAATGATAAGAAGGTGGGGCGTAAACACACACATTACTCAGCGATAAATGAAGATAAGCGATTAGAATCTCACCGGCATTTTCAGAATCGGATATATGGCTCTTTATTAGAACTTAAATAAACGAGGTTTCGTCTGCAATGATAATCGGTGGATGATGTATTTTTCCAGCTCAAGCGCGCGTCCCAACCTGCGCGCCGCTGCGTTTACCGGGCATGCGCGGCAATGCACGCTCCCGATCTCACATATCTATGGATATCAGAGTTTAAAGGGGTCATATGATGCGATTTCAATTTTTCCTTTCTCTGCACACCTCGCTTTTTCAGACTGATGAGCTTTGTAAAAATCGACGCGTTTCAGAAAGGCGGGGCATAGAGGAGAAACAATAATGTACAGTATGTGGAAAATAATGTGTTTTTTGAACCTTAAACCGCATAAACACATTTCATTACACCAAATACACAAAATACTGTTCTTTTTAGCAGCATCATATGACCCCTTTAACCTTTGATGCATGGTATGCATTATTTTCTAACCATGAAATATTTTTTTTCAAATAAGTTTTTATTATATGAAATAGCTTCAATCATACAAATCAAAACAGATAAAAAAAAAAAACTTAGGAAAACGCTGCTCTATGGCAACCACAAAGGAAAATGGTCAAAAAGTAACGTAGTTTTTCTAAAAATACTCGGAACTCATGCAAACCAAAAATAAGTAGACCCCTATCATTTTAACCTTCACTGAAGGCTAACTCATCCTCACTCTCATCACATGGAAGAGCTAACTCTGCACTCTTCCTATTGGCCTTTCTGTAAAATGCATTTTCTGAAAAGAAGAAATAATGTTGTTATTTATGCATAAATACAACTATACTACAATAAACACTTCAAATACGTAAATAAATAACTGTGCAATCATATTATTGATGCTAATTTCTATTTTAAAAAAATCCCAATGGGGAAATACATCACTGCAATTCCACTGTGGTAGGCCTACAGCATTGCCATATGGAAACACTGATATTTTCTCAATTTACAGTAAAACTATGTTAGACAAGGTTCAATTGTGAATAAAAAATATCTAATTTACTTAACATAGATGCTACACACAAAAAAAACCCTTGAGAAGAGATGTTTAGAAATGAGGTTAATAGAGCAATTTCTGGAGCACTTCAGCAGGTGTCTTCCGTTTGGGGGTGACAGTGGGAAAAACAGTTTTGGATGGACTTTTGCATGTCATGTGACTTAAAAACAGCACATCTTAAGGCCTGCCCTTTTAGTTCCCATAGTGCAATACATTGTATTTTTTCAGAATAACAAGGAAATTAGTAGAAATTAATTCTTGCTATATGGCAACTCTGTACCAAAGGGTTAAGAGCAAGTACTAGGTAGATTTCTTACAGTCTGTTACTGATTCCAAATTACATGATAAAAATTGTAGTTAGTAACGATATTTCTGAGAAGTACATAAAGCCCATTTCTGAGAAGTACATAAAAAGTAGACTAAAAGTATACTTTCCTATTTTTAGTTTAAAAGAAGTATACTAATAGCACACTTGAATAAACTTCTTTTTCGTGAGGGCCATTACACCCCTTTTGGGTAATATAATCAGACTACTATAATCTTGTACCATATTGATATAAAAATACAAAGAGAATGAAAATATATTCCATTCGTTCGTTGTAATTGACAACACGAAGTGCATTAAACATTGCGTCAACAAACGAAATGCAGGGGGGGTGTTTATAATGAAAAGCTAATAATTAAATCCTAAAAATGTAAAATTAAAAATAAATAATTTTAAAATAACAACAATCAAAACACTTACTAAAAAAGATGAAACTTTTTTGTTTACCTACATGTCACGTGACCATTAACCAGCGTCAGAGGACTGTTAACATGCAAATGTGTTACTGAATTATTAACTTATTACTTTAAAATCTCAGAGGGGACTTTAAGTAAATATATTAGGTGAAAGAGGTTCGGCTGACAAAAGAAGTTTGGGAATGCCTGCATTGCATGTAGCTAAATAAGACGTGAATTTGTGCATTTTAAAGTGTTTGAAAGACAAAAGCCTTCCAAAGGCAAAGACTTGTGAATAATATGTAATCATGTAATCAATAAAAAAGTAACTGTAGTCTGATAACGAGTATTTTAAAATGTAATATAATCTAATTACAAGTATTTTTGGAATGGGATTAAGTAATCCAGATCAGATCAGTAATCCAGTCATCCAAAAATCATTTAATTGCTTAGTATTCTTATCATCCGTTTTTTCAATCTGATTATCATCAGTGTTATCCCATTGTCACGGAATTATAAAACATTTTTTGTTCTGCTTCAGTCTGTATTCTCTGGTTACTTTTTTTTAGGGAGTAACGCAATATTGTAATGCATTGCTTTTAAAAGTAACTTTCCCCAACACTGGATATGACAATCGATTAATGTGAAGTGGCTGCTGTTGGATTGGTTTTTTATGTGCAAAAGGAGAAAATGGTTTCATTTTTTAATGTAAACAATAATAACAGTCCTACCAAATTCAATTCAATAAAAGGCAAAAATCCCATCAGTAGAAAATTCTGAAGTCTTTTTTGTTTATTATTATTTGTTCAACCATCTTCCCAAAATTCCCCCCAAAAAAGGGACTGAGAACAGGAATGTTGAAGAATTGCATCGTCAGGATATAGATGCGATGACGTTTTATACAACAAAACAAATCCACCATTACTGTACTGAAACAACAGGATTTTGTGCGCCGAGTAAGTCATCATTAGGCTTCCCTTGATCCAACAGTCATAGATAATCGTTAGTTTCCTAGAACTAACAAACTCCCCCAACTCTCACCCCATCTAAAAGTGCAAACTGTGACTCAACATACAAAAAGGCACGTTTATCTGTCAGAACTGACTAATGATGAAGGGAAAACCTACAGGTTTTTGTGCCAGGTGGGTGTGTCTAGAAACTCGACGTGATTTGTCATACATAAGTACACAGGATATTGCTTTTAATTTAGATCTATGAACCAACAGGCTAAAACGGTGTGACTATAAACAGCACTGGACGAAGAACGTGCAGAAGAAACTGTGGCACTCAAAGGACTTTGTCTAGGATTTCCAGAACGCTGCTGTGGAAAAGGCCCGTTTTTCCACTGATCTCCTGGGTCACGAAAAGCCTTCCGTCCGCTCGAGGCCTCTGAACGACGACTATTTCTCCTTCCGTCAGCGTGAGCTCTGCATCCGTTTTAGCATTGTAACCTTTCATTACTCGATATCTGAAGAAATCAGATCAGAATGCACCGGTCAGAATGCACCAAATGCCAGGATGTGCTATACAGGATATCTAAATGCTTCTTCAGATTCTGACAGGAAATGTTTTTCGGTTAAAACAGTTTCGGTGAATTATCTCAATAAATCTCGTAGAAAATACTGTATCTGCTAAGATGGAAGAAAAAAAAAATCTGCCACTCATTTCTAGCTCATTTGCAACACAGGAGCCATTCGATCAGATAACGCAATGCTTCCTTTTAAAGACACACTCAAGAAAACCCACCTGTTAGAGCCGGGCTGGTTGTTGATCAGTACTGGCTTCATATTTAGCGAGAGGCAGTCCATAGAAGCATGATCCGGGCCTGCGCTCTTTCTGGGTGCGAGTGTTTTTGTGTCTTTAAGAACTAATGTACTTCCATCCCGACCCAAGATGGCTGAAGGGTTCCAGTGGTCCAGAGCCGAAAGACCAGGTTGGGAACTAGAGATTTGTCCTGCAGACGCCATTTTTGATGTCTGAGGAGCATCATGAGTCAGGAACCGCACTGACTTTACTGGCTAAAAGAACAACAACAAAACATGCCGATGTAATTCAATTGAATATCTGTGAGCATTTGAGAGTGAACTATCCCATTAAATCCTAGATAATCACAACTCTTAGCCCTAAAACGCTTGCAGGAGCTGTTTTACCTTCTCTGTATTGTGCTTATGAGCGTCTGGTTTGACCAGAATGGACTGAGGCGCTGCGGTGGCCTCTTTCTGGACCGGGTCCCTGCTGACCGTTTGATATCCACCAGCAGAGGGAGCTGTGGTTTCATATGCCCAATGCTGCGCCTTCATGGGGTTCGAGAACAAACCGTTTCTCTTTTTGGGAAGCACAGGTGAACGACCGAAAGTATAGATCTGCCCCAAATCCTGAGGTGGAGGCTGAAGGCTTACGATGGAATTTGAATTGTAGTTTCCGTGATGAGGCAAGCCTAAACAAAAGGTAGAGCAGAAATGAATCAGCCCACCAGACTGAACAATATATTTAATGTTGCAGAAGCTAATTTCTGTGTGTCAGCTAAAACCTAAAAATATATGAAGAGAGAATAATGACCCTATATAAATGTTCTAATCTAAATGAACTGAAAATGATTGTACTGTATTTTTAGATTGAAAGAAGTCTCTTATGCTCATCAAGGCTGCATTTATTTGATCAAAAATACTGTAAAAACAGTAATATTTTCAACTTTTTCATATATATATTTGAAAATGTACTTTATTTCTGTGATCAAAGCTGAATTTTCAGCATCATTACTTCAGTCTTCAGTGTCACATGATCTTTTTGAGATTTGATGCTCAAAAAACTTTATTATTAACTCTCACAGTTGTGCGGCTTCATATTTTTGTGGAAACGGTGACACTTTTTTTTTTTCAGGATTCTTTGATGAATAGAACGTTCAAAAGAACAGCATTTATTAACAGAAACATTCTGTAACATTATAAATGTGTTTACTGTCACATTTGAGCAATCTATTGTGTTCTTGCTGAATAAAAGTATTTTTTCCCCTAAACTTTTAAATGGTAAATGGTTTTCATAAAAATATTAAGCAGCAAAAATTGTTTTTAACATTAATAATAATAATCAGAAATGTTTCTTGAGCAGCAAATCAGCATATCAGAATGATTTCTGAAGGATCGTGTGACACTGAAGACTGGAGTAATGATGCTGAAAATTCAGCTTTGATCACAGGAATAAATTATATTTTAAAATAAATTTGAATATAATACAGTAATTTTACATTTTAAAAATATTTTACAATATTACTGCATTTTTTTTTAAATAAAAAAATGCAGCCTTGGTGAGCAGAAGAGATATATATAAAAAAATTTTAAAAAACATATTGTGTATGTTGGCTTAAAATGTCAAAATGTATAAATAAAACACAAGTTGGACTAGTTTTTCCATATAGAACAGTTGCAAGTGCAACAGCTAAAAGCTGATTTATTTTGTCACAGCGTGTCGGGCTCGTTGGCTCTCACCCCTGTGTGTGGTGTTGAGGGTGCGTCTCACTGTGCTCCATCCCTGTTTTCCACCCAGCTGCGGCGCTCTCCCAGGACTGGCAGATTGCATCAAAGCCATTGTAGTTGAAGGAGTGTCTGCGGTTACTTTGTCTAGGGCCAGGACAACAGCCTGCAGCTTGTGTGGGGTGTGGCGTTTTGTTGACACTGTACTTGTATTAGGAATGGCAGGTTTGGTTTGTTCAAGAAACCTTGCAGATGTTCTGTGGGAAAGTCAGTATATTACTGTAACCTTGATTATCAAGATAATAAGTGCTTGTAAAACTAAAACGGTTCTAAATAGAACTAAAAAGCATGCACTGTGAATTACATTAAAGAACCTGAAGAGCCCATCAATATTTTTAACAGTGTGTTTAAGATATTAAATAATGTACAGACAGAGTAGGGGTGTGCGATAATATCGTAATTGTTGTTTTAACGATAGGCCTATGTTAGCTGACACTATGAGTATGTCATTCACTTTGCAAAAAACAAACAAAAACACATCTTGAGAGTCCAAAAGCATTCACTGCATGATGAAGCCTATTAGAATGCAGTTAAAGTTACCCTATAATTCAAGTTATGAAAGCAAAAAATATCCCTGTATGGGTTTCAACAGTTCAGCAAACAAGAAGTTATTATTGAGTTACATTTTAGATACAATATTGTCTGTTTTTTTCTGTTTCGGCAACGAAAATTGTTCCAAACAGAGCCGGAGCAGAACATTTGTGCGTTTTGAATGTTTTTGAACGAATCAATGATTGAGTCAATGATTCAAAGACGCATTCAAAAAGACAATCACTTGCTTTGTTTCTAAATGAGTCAGCCGTTTTGAACGAATCGTTTGAACGAATGATTCAATGAATCACTCATTAAAACGGGGACTTTCTGCCACCTACTGGCAGTTTTAGTGTCATATTTATTTATCCATGACCTTAAACCAGCGCAAAAAACACACTCAGCAATATATTGTTTAATTATTGTTATTAAAAAAAAATCCTAATAAATATCAAAATATACTTTTTTGTCAATATCGTACACCGCTTGTAAGGAGATTAAGAAGCAAAGTATTGGAAGCATGTTTTGTAGAAGTGTCGTTGTTACTGTATGTAACCCATCTGTACTATGAACTGTACTTCTGCTCACCTGAGCACAGGTGTAACATAGTTAGCCGGCAGGATCCCTACTTTGCCTGTTCTGAGAGACAGTCCACGCAGCCAGCCCTCTTTGAATTTCCCATAAACCCCCACCATTTCACCCTTCCTCAGTTCCAGCTCCTCAGAGTGATGAGGCGTGTAGGAATACAGCGCCGCACACCTAAATATATCATCAGGTTTAAGAAGTAGTTCAAAAATGAAAATACTGCCATTATTTACTCACGCAAACCCATACTTTGATGTATGAGGGAAAAAAAATCAATGTAAAGATTCTTCAGAAACACATTAACGATATACAAATTTAAACTTGTTTAGCTTTAATTCAAGAAAATCTTTTAGATGATCGTCAAAGATACATATGATCCCAGAAACACTTACACACTGATGGAGAGCTGCTGGGTGGCAGACATCTTGCTCTCTGACGGCAGGGGGGACGCCTGAGGGTTAATCAGTGCCATGGTGATGGTCGGCGGACTTTCACCATTCATTGTTCTGTCTCTCTGTAATAGTCAGAAAGTAACTGGTAATTTTCTTATCTTTGCGCAGACACTGACAGCAATGTAATCTCTTCAGTACAAGTGTAGAACAGATTTGTTGAACTCCAAACATTCATGCTTATGTAGCCTTCTGATAACATATGTTGAATAATAGTAGTAAAGTTTTCAATAACTTTATGATAACTAATTAACAAAACAAAGACACAAAGTAAGACAAGATGAAAAAATAAGGCAAGACAAAAACAATAAAACAAAAAGACAAGACTAAACAAAAGGCAAAAACAAAGCAAAACAAGACGGGCAAAAACAAAATAAAAAAGATGACAAAAAACAAAGAAAAAAAAAACAAGATAAACAAAACACAAGAATAAAAACAACTTAAAATGAGCAACATCAAAATAAACAAAGACAAGACTAAACAAAAGGCAAAAACCAAGCAAAACTAAAACAAGCTAAAACAAAAAGACTAAAAACAAGACAAAAACAAAGCAAAACAAAAAAACAAGACAAGACAAAAATAAAATTAACAAAAGAAAAGACTAAAACAAACACAAAAACCAACCCAAAACCAAAAAACAAGATGACAAAAACAAAATTAAACAAAAGACAAGACTAAAAACAAAAGGCAAAAACAAAGCAAAAAAGATCAGCAAAAACTAAATAAAAAGAGACTAAAAACAACACAAAAAAAGCTAAGCAAAAACAAAACAAACAAACAAAATACTAAAAACAAATACAAAAATAAAACAAGATAAGCAAAAACAAAATAATCAAGACTGTAAAACAAAAGACCATCAGGAACATTTGCTCACTGATTGCTTTGAATCTTGGCTGATTGCTGATGGATTGGCATATTAAGGTTATTGTAAAAAGTTTCAATGTTAGCCTAATTCAGGAGTCTTTTTGTGTAGTTCTCTTGCATAACAGCAAATAAAACAAGCTAAGATCCAGTCTAAAATTAGTGCATTATTAAAGCATGATGAAACGAGAGACCAATCTGTGAATTCTGTAACTTTGACAATTTCCACGCCTCTCTTAATCACTTACACCTACAGTATGTCCCATAATTATCTCAGAGAGAGCAGGTGATTACAGCTTAGTTACATCAGCACTGCCACAGAAGACACAGAAGGCCTAGAGAGTTATACATTAACATGTTTTATTCAAAGCGACTTACAAATGAGAAATACAGCATAGGTGATTCCTCCTAGCGAGGCGGTAACATAAGAAGTGCTGCGATCCAAATTGCATGTTAAAACTACCAGATAAGTACAATAGAATAGAGCATGTACTTTAAGAGAGTCAGTTCGGTCCCGCAGTATATTGCACTGAAATCCTGGTGTAGCATTTACTTTGAAATACTTTTCACTCAGAAACTGCTAGTAAATTTCATAAATAATTACAAATAAATGGCACATTGAATTAAACTTGAAATTTGGAGTAGAAAGACATCATATATTATTTACAACTTCATTTACGTTTATAATCAGTTCGATGTCTGCTTTCTTCCTGTAGAGGCTTTATATTCTTTACACTTTTCAAGTCATTTGAGAATCCAAAAGCATTCACTGTGCGATGAAGCCTATTAGGATGCAGTTAGAATGACACTATAATTCAAGTTATGAAAGCAAAAAACATCCCAGTGTGTGTTTTATGTCTTTTATATTTATATAGTTAATAATATCACACAAGCAACAGCCATTTTCCTAAATATTAGCGCATGAGCAAATCGCAAATGTGATATTAATTTTACACAACCGTAAATTCAACAAACATGAATTTAATTGAGCGAGTTACATTTTACATGTTTTTTCTGTTTCGCCCACAAAAATAGTTTCAATCAAAGCCGGATCAGAATATTTGTCCGTCTCAGAGTGTTTCCTTCTTGAATGAATCTGTTTGTGAACGAATCAATGATTCAATGATCTATTAGTAAAGACTGTTGTTTCTAAATGAATCAGCTGTTTTGAATGAATTTTATGAATGCATGATCCAATGAATCACTCATTAAGACAGGAACTTGTCGCCACCTACTGGCAGTTTTAGTGTCATATTTATTTATCCATAACAGGCCTAAACCAGCCAAGGTACCAGTATTAAAACACGCTCCGACAAATATTGTTTAATTATAGTTATCGTAAAATCTCAATAAATATAGAGATATAATTTTTTGTCAATATCACACACCTCTACAGCACCTTCTGCAAAATCTTCTTTTGTGTTCCATTAAAGTAAGATGCTCATGATGGGTTTGCACCGGCGATGAGTAAATAATGACATAATTTTTATTTTTGGGTGAACTATTGCTTTAAATATTTTCTTTCCCATCAGAAAGACACTGCTGAGTCAGAAACAGTGGGCATGTTTCCTGTGGCTTCAGAGTGTTGCACAATCTGAAGAAAAAAACACAAATAATGCACAGAATCCAGTGTTAACTGGCCCCTGGGTAGGTTGTAATATGAGTGACTCGTCTCTCCGTGATGTGATGTTCTCCTCGCCTTCTATTAATGACCCAGCTGATGGCAGGAGGAGAGAGAGAGTCACCGCTCAGTGGAGAGGAATGAGCCTTTCAACCAGATAAGAGGAAAGTGTTATGTAACCCTATATGAGTCATGAGCTTGATAACAGAGAATGGGGCATTTTTAGCTCTCAAACACACTGGCTTCCTCTCACACAGGAAAACATCTCATGCTGACAGAGGAGAGAAATATTTACACCTGTTTTTGAGGGAAAAGTCAAGAAAATGCAAGAAGGAACAGCTCGTTTTAGGTGATTTCAGTGCATTGTTTCTAATAAAATCAAACGTGTGACACCGACACAATCTTGTGAAGCGGGCACATTTGCATCACAGACACATAAGATATTATAATACTAGTTCCGTGTCTATACAAACACATCTCTGACTCATCGAATCCAAATAGGATGTTAAACTCACCATTTATAATTTAGTGTAGCTAAATCACTGCACTGAATGAAAAAACACATGCATGGCTAAAAAAAATGCATGGCTAACTAATCGCATGTCTGCATAGCAAATAAACAGCCAATCATAATTCCTTCACAAACAAACAGGGGCTGCTCACCTTAGGCAAGTTTCTGTGAGAGCTCCTCAGACGTGGCTTGTTAAATGTGGCGAGTTGTGGTGTCTTGCTGGAGGACGGCTGTGTGCTGGAGCTGATGTGAAGCGGCTGCTGGCTCTGGCTGAAGGGAGGATAGTTCAGGCTGTTCAGCAGACTGACATTTGGAGGCCTGGCCGACTTGTGAGATGCTCCAGCGATCCGCCTGGGGACGCAAGCATCGGCGTTGACCCTGCCGCCGCTCCGTGGGTGCGATTCCACCGAGTCTCTCCTTTTGCGTTTTTCCAGAAGCTCGTACGCCGCCGGATTCGGCTGCAACGGGAAAACACAAAGCAGTTTAAAAAGAAGCCGAGATGCACAATAAAGCCATGCTGGGTTGCATAAGCCCCTCTACCTGCTGCGTCTGAGTTTGTCAGAAAGAAAAGTGCTATTAGTCCCACCTGCTCGCCCTAAACTTCCTGTGTAAGTGGCAGCTGGAGCTGCCGATCTGAGGAGCGCGTCGTTACGATGGACTGGTGCAGCACATGTGGGCAGGAGAAGTGACGCTCCCCCTCTCTGTTCCCATGATGTGCTGCTCTGCCACCGAAGTAAAAGAAAGCATTACTGTGCCTTCACGCCTGGCTGCTCACCGCTGAGATGCCCGACCGGTGTTGAGAGCGAGGCTGGCTGTTTTATCTGCCTAACCTCAGATACAGCATTCCTATCTGGAGCTTGATTATCCGCTGGCACATGAAGTTCACTGGAGCAGCAGTGGTGGAAGAATGCACATCAGTCACAGGACTGCAGCGTCACAGATAGCAAGCTCACTAAAAGCTCGTTATCATGCTCCGTAAGTAGCTACCGCCACCATCAGCACTAAGTGATAAGGGCCTATTGTTCTGAATTTAACTGTGACATTAAACAGAGACACGATTAGGGGACATTAAAAAGATTGGCAAGCAATGACGAAGATTTCACGTCACACTGTAATTTATGAGTGAAATCATTTTTGATTATTATTGCATAAAGGCTTAGAAAGTGCAAAATAGTAAAAAATATCTGGGTTTTAATTTCAAAATCAAAAGAATGATATTTTGCACAAAGAAGCCTATTTTTAGGATCATTACATTTTTGCTGTGACATTATTTTCACGACAATTAAGCAAATATCCTCCATTCTCAGTGGTCTAATCATTTTCTCATTACTGTAGTTGCTTAAATCAGGGGTCTTCGGTCTGTGGCGGCACTGCAGGTGTCTGCCAATTACTTTTTGATCTGAACTTTTGGTTAACGAAAATATGAAAATATGCAATAAGCAAAAATACAATATTAAGTGAACTTCAGCCAAAGCTCAAGTTAAAAAAACTAAAGTTCAGAAGTTCACTATTGCATTTAATCATTACATTGTTTGGAGCATAAGAAGCAAATGGGATTATTTATTTTTTATTTATTTTATTAGTGGATTTATTACAATTTATTTGTAAACTCAAAATGTTATGTACAACTATATGCACATCAATAATAAATATTTCAGGCATTTTCAATGTAATGTAAGCATCACAACAAAGTATGTGAATCAGGGTTATTGTAGTTAACTAAAACCATTAAAAAAAACATTTTCATTACTTGAAATAAGTGAAATAAAATATAAAACAACTTATTTAACAATTTATTTCAGCTAGTTTTCAAGGCAACATTTCTCAGTTTCATTTTCAGGTTAACTTGATGTACTAAAATAACTAAAACTGAAATGATTAAAAACTACAAAAATAACAAAAGACACAAAATTGCTAACAATTTTAACTAAAATATTACAAAAAATCAAATATTCAGTATTAACGAGAAAACTAAATAGTATCTCAGTGATACTAAAATAACACTGATGTAAATACAGTAATATTGTATACTTTGTGCAAGCTATTATTAAAGTGCAATGCTTATTTTCATACAAATAAAAAAAGGTTGAAGACTCCTGGTTTAAATTGCTAAACAGATTCGAATGTACAGTTCAAAGTATGCATTATGGTTGCACTGTCTTTTATTTATGCTCATTTTAAAATAATAATAAAAAAAACATTGTCCAATATTTTTGCAATGCAGTGAAAATTTTAAAATAGACTTTTTACTTTATGCAAAATATGAATTCTTGTTTTATTATTTTATGATTATCTGGACATTTCTTTGGGAGATTCACCGTGTTTTGAAATCGAGAATAAAAGCCTGTTGTCTTACCTCTGTGAGCTCCAAAGGAAAAATCCCAACTTTGTCTCCAAGTTTACCCTCGACCCAATTTTCATTCACTTGTTTAATAAGAGTAATGCTGTCTCCCTGCGGGGGGAAAGAGAGATAGGCATGTGTTAGGCCGCTGTGGGTGCAGGACGTCCCTGAAGACGTTTACCCGGCTTGAATCCCTCTAAGCTGCAGGCTTATTACACCCTTTACTCGGCTCCAGACCTATTTGGACCATCTGCTCTCAGAAAAAATATAAACACTCCAGGAAAATCTCCTTTAATGGATGCTGTGCCTGAGTCAGAACTGTTATATAATTCAAGTCCTGCGGTGTGACTAACAATACTGCTACATCACAGAGCCCAAAGAAGAGAGCTTTATTTGCTTCCCAGGTTCCACACTGAATCACAAAAATGAGGCAAGTAATACTAAACATGCTTATGTTCAACATACAATGACCCCAAAAAGTATTTAGACACTTCACTCACACATACAAATCTAGGAATATAATTAAAGTGACACTAAATAAAAAAATAAATAAAAATAATCCCATTTGTTTCTTATGCTCCAATCAATGCTCCAAGAAATGCCGTTTCTGTTTTGGAATTAAAATAATAATAATAATAATAATAATAATAAAGGTAATTTTTATGATTTTTTTAAATCTCACACTTCAGACTTTTTCTATAAAAGTCACAATGACATTTAAAAAAAAAAAAAACAGAATTTCAAGATGTAAACTCAGAATTCAGAGAAAAAAGTTAGAATTCTGAATTTATATCTCACAATTCTGACTTTTTTCACAGAATTACGAGAAACAAAATTCGAATTGTGAGATATAAACTCAGAAATTGAATTGTGAGAAAAACTTTACATTTACATGTTTTAATTCTGTGGCAGAAACGGGCTTCCATATTTTGTGGCTGTTAAAGTAGTTGCAAAGGTCATCGCAAATATAGCTTAGAAAAGTGCAGTCTAGCATTATTGAGCAGATGGCACTTGCTTTGATGTTTTGTTAATGCAAACACATTTTTGATCGCTTAAAGGGTTAGTTCACCCAAGAATGAAAATTATGTCATTAATTACTCACCCTCGTGTTGTTCAAAGCCCGTAAGACCTTCGTTCATCTTCGGAACACAATTTAAGATATTTTTGATGAAATCTGAGGGCTCTCTGATCCTCCCATAGACAGCAAGGTAACTACCACGTTCAAGGTCCAGAAAAGTACCAAGATGATCGACAAAGTAGTCCGTGTGACATCAGTGGTTCAACTGTAAAGTTACGAAGCTACGAGAATACTTTTTTGCGCAAAGAAAACAAAAATAACTTTATTCCGACTTTATTCTACCGATACTGCGTCACTTGTGGACGTGCGCAAAGAAAACAAAAATAACGACTTTATTCCACATTTTCGTATCAGTAGAATAAAGTCGGAATAAAGTTATTTTCTCGTAGCTTTGTAACTTTACAGTTGAACCACTGATGTCACACGGACTACTTTGTCGATCATCTTGGTACTTTTCTGGACCTTGAACGTGGTCGTTACCTTCCTGTCTATGGGAGAGTCAGAGAGCTCTCGGATTTCATCAAAAATATCTTAAATTGTGTTCCGAAGATGAACGAAGGTCTTACGGGTTTGGAACGACACGAGGGTGAGTAATTAATTACTAAATTTAAATTTTTGAGTGAACTAACCCTTTAAGTGTACAAATACTTTTTGTGGCCACTTTACCAACCCAACTGAATTGTGGCAGTACATTGATTAAAGAAGAAGAAATCAACTGAAATGCATATAAAGCACAGATAAAGCACAGAGACGAACCTTGAAGAAGGTTAAGCATTCCTTGCTGTCGTCCGTATCCAGATTGTTAGCATTGAAGTCATAAAGTGCTCTGCAGAGGGCCAGCGGCTGCGGCTGCGCACTTATGACCCGCACCACATCCACTGGAACCAGACCGCTGCTGTCTTTGCCTTCGCCATAATACCAGTTATCATCTACTCTCCAGCGCAGATGAATGATGCCACCTGACTTCATCGTCAGCTCTCCAGGTGCGTTACCCTGGAAATCATATAAAGCTTGAGCTTGCACCTGAAACAAATAAAAAATGCATAGGGAAGACTGTCAAGAACTTATCCTGATCATAACTCAAATAAAAATAATGAAGCCATTCTAGGACCATTATATTTTTACATTGTGCCATTATTTTCATGACAATTAAATACATACTGTAATGCACAAAAAAAAAGATATATCACTTGAATTATTACAAAAATTCAGCTTTCGATGTACAAAGGGGTTTTCAAAAATCAAAACAATAAAAGTTTAATACAGCTTAAATTTTTCCACCAAATATTAGAATGTATTCTGTATAATTTATTTTTTCTGAGACAAAAACAATGTCTATCATACATGCATGTTTACCTTGATTTACAGCAGACACCCACTATAATGTCATTCAGTTTAACAATAGTTCATATACCAAAAAAAATCTCGTCAGGCAGATTAAGAACAAGAAACATTAGATGACATTAAAAGACTCTATTTAAGGATCACAGTTCAGCCCCCAAAAACTAATTCATTATCATTTTAAATCTTTACCAAACCTACTAAACCTATCCTTCAAACCACTACATTTTACTCTGCAAGAAGTTTTTAAACATTTAAAATATAATCACTTATTCTTTTATATATTTTAATAAGTACAGGTCAGAATTAGCACGTTGTTTCATTTTTATATAAATATACAGTATCTGTTATACATTATTTCACCCATATTTTGACCGTTTATTTTGACAATGGTATTCTAAACATTAAAGTAGACACTTTATTTGCATTTAATATGCTTTCTATGTATATAAATAAATCACTTTTGTAAATTTAATTACAAAAGTGTAATTGTCTCGTATTTGACCCGTATTTATATATATATATATATATATATTTTTTTTTTTTTCTGACATATGAGTATAAATAAAAGTACATTGAATTTTGTACAAAACATATCATAAAATAAGTTTAAGACCCCTGGTTTAAATTGTAAAACAGATCTGAAAGTACAGTTGAAGAATGCATTATGGTATACCTGTTGTATTGTTTTTAATTTATGCTCTTTTTAATAATGATAAAAAGCTACATTGAATAGCTAAATAGATATTAGAAAAGTGAAACATTAATGCAAAAATATATATTAATAAAAAAATATAGAGTTTTTTTAGACAAGTGACTTCTGCAAATAACACAGCTTCTAACAGCGCTCTTTATTATTGTATATTATCTCTCCAGCACTTCAAATGCACGTTAACTAAATTAGAGGCGTGGAATGAGAAACGCAGTGGGAAAAGTAAAGAAGTAAAGTTTCCCCGGAGCTCAAAAGCATCCCAAACTTTTAAACAGCATTAATGTTTGTGGCTGCAAATGCAATGGCATTTTTCCCAAGTGAAATTCAAGTCCACCGACCTACTTAAACCAAACCAAGGCCCAGTGTGTTTCAATGGACATTGTTAAACACGCAGAGATAATGGGGCTCTTAAGCAAACTGACCTCCCATATAAGACAACACAAAAACCATACTGATATATTTAAATACACTGTACACATTTCATAATGATTTACGCTGCACAGGATTATAGCTCTGTTGAAAATCAAACATCATGCTCGATCTGTTTGATGTGGCACGACGACAGACACGGTGTAATATGATACATACCGGAGAAAGTTTGGAAAATATTCATATTCTATATCAGAATAATTATAAATCTAATTCACATCACAACCCCAAAAAGATTAAAGCGTTTTTGAAAATCTGTTTGATGTGGCACGACGACAGACACGGTGTAATATGATACATACCGGAGAAAGTTTGGAAAATATTCATATTCTATATCAGAATAATAATAAATCGAATTCACATCACAACCCCAAAAAGATTAAAGCGTTTAATTCCGAAAGAAAAGCAAACAAGCCTAATCAAGCCTTAAGTGCATGTCACAAAAAAACACTAACAGCAGCTGCACAAAAAGACAAAGACTGCTTTTAAGTCTGTGCATTTCAAATCGTTATTCACGCTCTAATGCAACAAAAGCACATGTCGTACTTCTTACCCCCTGTGTGTACTGCCCCACTTTGGCCAGATCTTGAATGCGACTGCTTAAAAGGTCCTCCTGGACTGCAGAGCTGATATATCTGACGGATCTGTCCCTCGGTGTGCCCAGCGGACCCCGTTCCTGGAGGCTCTCGAGGAGTCTCAGCAGCAGCGGGTTGGCAGGGAGCTCCTGCACTGATCCTGGAACAGCAGCTCTGCACTCTGGACAGCACATCTGATGAGGGTGTGAAGCCTCGTGCTGCTGAAGGCATGCCATGCAGAACGTGTGCTGGCACGGCATGACCTTGGCAGACTCCTCCAAAGGCTCCATACACAAAGGACACTCCAACAGGTCCAAAACAGCCAGATCCTCCATCACTCCTTCAGCACACACAGTTTTATAACATATTCAGAACTACTTTAGCCAAAAATACATATCGGTAGCACTTTGTTTTACAGTCCTCTTACATACTATGTCCTTAGGCTATTATAGTAATTACAATTACTAGGTAATAACTAGGTACTAATCCTAACCCTACCCCATAGTTACCTTATATTACCAGTTCTTAGGTAGGTACACTATAAGTACACTGTAAGTGCATGTAAGCTCACGTACTGTAAAAAATAAAGTGCAAACGACATCTTATTATATAATGATTTCTGACTGTAAACCTCGAGCTATGTACTTCCGTCAACACCTGTTCATTGTAATATGCAAATAGCCTAGGTGTGAACAACAGACGAACGACATCTGTAAATACAGACACGAGCTTTGTTAAAAAATATATATAATCTACCTTAACTGTACTTCCGTCAACACCTGTTCATTGTAATATGCAAATAGCCTAGGTGTGAACAACAGACGAACGACATCTGTAAATACAGACACGAGCTTTGTTAAAAATATATATATATAATCTACCTTAACTAAGCTTACATGTCAAAACCATTTGCGCTGTTATGATCCTGAGGAGAAACGAAAGGTGAGTTTTCATTGAAATCAAGATCGCACGAGCCGCGCGTGACGTCACGTCTACCTGGTGACACGAAAACACCTTCGCAGCGAAAACGAGGTATAAAACTGAACATTGTACTCAAATACAGTTAAACATTCACGTACCTGCTGTCCCGTAAGAATAGGAGAAGAGAGGAAAGGGCACAGGCGATTGAGAGAGCTGCTCTAAACTGGATGTTTGCGGTCAGGTGTCATCTTACAGCTCAATGTCACTGAGATTCAGCCAGAAATGCTCTGAATGTGAGGGAAAACACTACGGAAGACCTCTGAAGCCAGAAATAATGCTTTCATTGCAACTGTGCACCTGTATAATTTAAACTATATCAATTAAATGATCAGTAGAGAGACATATTTATATGTATGCCACATGCATTTATTTTGCATTTATTTAAAATATTATTTGAGCTGTTTTATTTTCTGTAAAAAAATTTTTTAATAGAATCTGACTTTTTTTTTTACCCTGTTAGCAACATTTGTCCAAATTCAGTTTTGTGTGATTTTGAAATACATTCAAATTTACAGTAAAGATTAAATAAACATTAAAATGAAATGGACAATTTGTGAAATATTTATAAAATAGCTATTTAAGAATGAGGAACAGGGCTGTTTTTAAGCCGTCACTCAATAAAAGTTAGTTAGTTTGGTGCCAAAATGCTGGTTTGTAGTTACTGATAAACTTATAGCCTGTTTTTGTTTTTTTTGCTGAATGGAATGGTTTGAATGGAAAATAATTAAGAGATTATTTACTTGTGTACCCATCAGGCTGTAGAAAGTCATTTACTAGTGAATATAAATTAAACAGATAATCGAAATATCAATGTCATGACATTTAGACAATTATGTTGATTTTATCAACATATGTATGATTTTATTTTATTTTTATTTATTTTTGGGATCCACCTTTGAGTTGGGACAGGCCGAAATCAAGGATGAAGTTTTGACAGCTAGCTGTTTTTCATGCTTGGGCAGTATTATTTTAGATAATAGTTTATAAAATAAATCCCACAACAAAACTGGATTTGTGCCTGTACTGGTATAAAACCAAAGTTTACCATAATTGTGGAATGTGCCATACACTATAAATAAGACACAGAGATCAATAGCTGAATGAGTTATATAGAAAATTGCAAGGTCCAAGTTCATTTTAAAGTAATACTCGCGCCCTCTAGTGGTGGAAAAAGCAATTGAATCATGTTTTAAATATAGCATTGCCTTATAATTTCATTAGTTATTTAAGTTTTTCATAAAAGCAACCCCATCGGGAAACTTGTCTCTTTTTTTTTTCGTCTTACATGAACAGTAATCTGTCTTCAGTCAGACAGATAAATGAGCAGTGGATCTATTGACAGATAAGACAAGACATGCCTAATGATGATGGTGGTGACTGCAGCCTTAGTCAGCGCATAAATCATCTCCTGCTTTACCCTGCAATGAAACAATCCAGACATCTGTTTTAAATCTATGGGATTTCAGTTTCACACATCCCTTAAACCCCAAAGTCCCGTTAACATCTCACGGCTAAATTATTCATTAATATTGGCTCTGCGTTTCTGCACAAGTTCAGGACGTTCACTTAAATTTTTTAAGGGTGCATGAATTTTTTATCTGTTTTGTAAGTCCGCGGAAATATGGGAGGTTTTGGTTTTTTTAGAGATTCTTTAAAAGATACATTTATTTTCTTTTTATGTTTGTGATCTCCTGTAGTTTCATATCAGTGGTCTTCGGTGCTCATTGAAGTGCTCCATGCATGCTTTTCTAGTAATCAGTTTGTTAGATTAGGTTAACGACCTGACAGAACTCAGTATGAGTCTTTGGCTGCTGTAAGGTTGAGTGTTTGTGACGGGCTGGAGAGTAATTGCAAAAGCTTTAATGGGCCCTTGCTGGGTGTTTGTGATTCTTTGGCCTCTTTTCTGATAGAAAAAGGGAAGATCTGGCCAGCAGAGGGCACAGTTTGTATGGCAACACAAAACCAGCTCATAAGCCTTTCTTCTCTAATTTTGTGTTTTACACAAAGTTTATCGCTGGCTCTTAATAACGGTAATCCATTACTTTTCTCATTTCATTTCTCATTCGACTGTTTGTTTCCGATCATTCTTTCAGATTTGTGCTTTCTCTGCAGTTTGAAGTAATCTAGTCGTCTGAGTTCTGTGGGAATGAGTCTATGGGTGTTTACAGGCTTCCATTACAGACCATCAATTATTCATGGGCTGATTATATGGCTATTGTTTCCTGCCATTATTTCTAAGAGTTTACATTTATCAAAATTGCCCACACACATGTCGGCATACTTTTCTTGCTCAGCTGGATGCAGAATTGACTTTTGTAACTACTACAGCAACTTGTAATGATTCCAGTATTAAAATCTTTGCAGTGTTGTGCAGGCCAGAGAGAGAGAGCAACAGTAAATCTTAACACTGTTAAGGTAGCTCTGAGTAGTGTCATTTAATTTTTCATGCTGGGGGATGTCAGTCTGTTGTTTGTATCTTCCTCGTTGACATTTCTGGGATACTACAGCACCTTCTGTTTGTCCTGCTTCTGATGTTGTGTTAATTATGGTTATATCAATATGTGCACCGTGTGAGGTTATGCAGCTCTCAGAATGTTTAACGAAGAGCCGGCTGTGCAAGACCAACCTGAACAACAACATTTTTTAAGGTTAAAAGCCACACTTGTGTTTGGCACAAAAGGTTCCCAGCAGGCACACAACATCATAAGACGTTGATATTTGGTTAAATTTCGGTTGCGACGACGGGTGACCAAAATTCAATGTAAATTCAACGTCTAATGTCAATGTTAAATTGATGTCCAATACCGACGTCAGCTGACGTTGATATTTTGTTGTTTTTAGGTTGTGTAACCAAAATCCAATGTTAAGTCAACGTCAAATTGACGTCAACCCGATTTTCATTTTCAAACAAAATGCAACATCTGTCTGACTTCATGTCCAACGTCAACCTGACGTTACATAGACGTCCGGTGCCTGCTGGGTTAAAACAGTTCCCAGAGATCAAATTGTACAGGTTTACTCTCGAAAAATAAAACTTTGCCACTATAGATGATACACAATTTACACAAGAGCAGTGGGGAGAGAACACATCCCTGGGGGGCGCCAGTGCTGATGGTGCGGCTGTTTGACATGATTTTCCCCAGTCTCACTTGCTGTTGCCAGAAAAGCTGTCAGAAAGCTGGTGGTCCATTGACAGATAGAGCTAGGAACAGAGAACTGGGTTAGTTTGGTCTGGAGGAGTGCTGGGATGATTCTATTGAAAGCCGAACTGAAGTCCACAAACAGGATCCTCTCATAAGTCCCTGGTTTGTCTAGATGTTGTAGGATATAATGCAGTCCCATGTTGACTGCATCATCCACAGACCTGTTTGCTCGGTAAGCATTTGTTACAGTCTCTGTGAGCTTTTCCAGATCGGTGGCAGCAGCTTCAAAAACACTCCAATCAGTGCAGTCGAAGCAGGCTTGTAAATCCAGTGGGCCTATTTTTCTGCAGGAGGTCCTGGATATCTTGTGCAGATACATAGCATCATGGATCATGGAAACCTGACTGCTTCTGTTAGAAATCTTATAAATGGGTCGTGGTTGGATCTTCCATCAGGACAATGATCCAAAACAAACATCAAAATCAACACAAAAATGTGTCACTGATCACAAAATGAAGCTTCTGCCATGGCCGTCCCAGTTCCCTGACCTGAACCCTGTAGAAAATGAGTGGGGAGACTGAAACTGAAGAGAAGAAGCATGGAACGGGATCTCTTGTCAGGTGTTCTCCAAACTCATCAGGCATTATAGGAGAAAACTCAGAGCTGTTATCTTGGGAAAAGGACGCTGCAATAATTGGGTGCCAATAATAGCCAACGTGAACTAGAGAAAAACATTTATTTCATAATGAAATTTCCCCCCCAATTTCTGTTGTTTTACTTCCATGATAGGTTAGAATAGATAGATAGAGAGATAGATAGAAATATGATACACCCTTTAAACAATATGCAGTACACAGTATTAAAATCAATAATTGTATAGATATATGACTCAACAATTTGCATGTGTTTTAATATACATTGGGCTTGTATTATACTGCTCGTGTATAATTCATAGCAATGCAATCAGAGAAAAATATTTACAAAACAATGAAAGAAATCGGTCACTGTTTATAGACAGATGTATGATATCTTATTTTATTTTATATTCATATTATTGCAAACCAGAGAAAAAAGATGTACAAACAAAATATTTGTGACAAATACAAGAGATAGATTTGTTTCAAAAGGTTAAAAAAAATCCCATGGATCAAAATAGTCAACCCCTGCTACGAAACAAAGTCGAAAATCTGTCACATTGGATCAACTTAATT